GCATGTCCTTGAAGGATGGAAACGTGGGTGCCTGCAGATAGCTCAGGAGCTGTCAGAACCAAAACAAAACCCTCTGCCACTAGGTATCACGGAGGCCCAGATGTTAGTCAAATCCAAAGGACGGACTAGATACATAATGCTGAGAAGAACCTCCAAGGATACCAGATATGCACAAAGACTTCACAAAGGATATAAGCCCTCGTGCTACACAGCAGAAGTCAGCTGCTAACTAACAGAAGTTAGGACAATGCTTCTGTGCAGGTTGCTCTCTAACTGCCCTCTAGGTCAGAGGTTCCCAACCACCGGGCCGCAAAGGGTTGGCTGCCAGGTTGTGGCATGAGCCCCCTGCTCTGACCCTTGTCTGTCCACCTGGCAGTCGTGTGGGGTTAAAGCTGGATGACGGGACATCTGCGGGAGGGAGGCGGCCGGCTCTGTGCACCCCGTCCCACTCCTGTGCCAGTCCACAGTATAAAAAAAGGTCGGGAACCACTGCTCTAGGTCATTTCTTGTGCCCATTCACAGAGCATCTTGTGTTGGCAGCTATCAGAGACAGTGAATCAGATGCAGGTCTGCACCAGTGTCACTATTCTTATTCTCCTTTAAAGAACTTCCTCTCTATTCAAGTGTCCTTTCTGGTATAAAGTTCAGGCTCCAGGATGGAATACTAAGGTGGAATAAAGGCGGAGGCGCTCAGTGCCTGAATGCTTCAACACTGTGCCCTAGAATCCCACCTCATTTGCTACTCCCCAGAGACCACTATAGTTAAATGTTTAATCCCGATAGTTTGCTTGCATGTAGATCTCTCGCATGCACACAGGTAGTTGTATGTACAGACATCTTTCCCTCTGTATTCAATTCACCTTTCCATTTGTTTCTGGTGTTTCTCCTCACGGGCCTGTGCTTTCATCTGTTGCACCTCGATGGTGTCAGGCTTCCTGCGGCGCATGTACAGCTCATGGTTGCCCATGCACAACTGCAAGATCCTCTTGTTAATTCTTAGACGAGGAGCATAAAATATAAAATCCTAGAAGAGGGTACAGAACACGGGAGAACTTGATTTCTGGGGCACAAGCTTCTTGTCCAAGTGCTTTGTCAAAGCTTACCCATCACGTGGTTGACCACTGACACACAACAGTAGCCACATCTTCCATTTAAGTAAGGACAAATATCTTATTTTGTACCGTATCCTTATAGGAGTATTGCAATACTCCAATTTGGGTTTACCAGATGTACCTCCTATAGGAAATGACAGCTTCTTACAGCAGTTGCTGTGACTACACTCCCATAGATACAGTAGCTCATGAGTAGCTTTCTGGAATGTGAAACACTTGGGAAAAAAAAAAAAGTGGTTTTTGGTAGATCTTTAGGCATCAGTACAACTTGCCCATTTCTAGTTATTATACAAGATGTGGACGTAGCGTACACTTATTCACCAACAGGTAAAATGTGCGCAGGTTTTATAAAAGCAAATTAAGCTGATGAAGATGGAATCTCTCTACATTAGTTCTGTTAACATGTATCAAAGTGAAATAACTAAATATTAAGGGACATTAAAATATAAAAAAGTTTAGTATAAAAAAACAAAACAAAACATTCATTCATAAAATGGCAGGTTTTGCATTCCCAGGTCAGCTTGCCCAACTATTGCAGTCAGTATCCTGGACACCAGGCAAGAAGTTATCTACATCCTCAGATCATTATGTCATGCAGTAATCTGTGGAGTTAGAAGCAGCAAGACAGGAAAATCCCTTCTTTCCCTTGAAGACGAGAGAACATGCTGAGGAAAATGATCTAATCAACCCGTGTTCATTTGTACAGTTACAAACAAATATTAGTAGCCACAGAATCTGGAGCACTATTTTTTACCCTCATTGACTGGGTAACAGGAATGGTGCTTCTACATAGTAGCAAGATACAGAATGCAGAAAAATAGAGCTGTGCGCCAATAGGACCACAGCTTTGAGAAAACTGAGACCATGGCTGTTCTTTAAGCTGCCACTGAGGGAAGGCACCATCAAGTTCTCACATAGGCCTCCCAACTGGACGAAGGGGTAGACTAGGGAGGAACACCTTTATTCTCTTCTCTGGGACACGGTGGATTGGAGAGAGCAGCGGATTCTCATTCTTTCACCAAGCCAAGAGCCACTTGTTTTTAAGAGACACCGGTTTCTACATTTGAGAGATATCCGTCCCTATTGTCCTTTCCTCCTCGTGCATTTCAAACAGCCAATCCATTCTAAGAATTTTGAGCTATTCTATCTTTGACAGCCATCAGCAAGCAAGCATATAAGGAAGAGTTTGGGAATCAGGTTACATGCAGCACCAACTACCAGCAGAATTAATAAGAAAACAGAATATTCTGTCTTAACAAAGAATGGCATAAAATCAGTTAGCAAGGTGGCGTGAAAACAAACTCACTCTATTCTGTGGGTAACTGCAGAACCCTCCAAAAAATGAACTCTTAGGTCATACACAAAGCCCCAGAATCCTTTATCTGCACAATACTTTACTATATCAGTTCCGAGTCCAGCTTTTTTTGTTGGGGGGAGGGCAGTGGTGGAAAGGGTCCAACAAACCCTATCAATTTAGTAGGGGTTTTCAGATTAGAAACATTGATTACACAATAAAAAAAACATTACATTTCTGTTCTACCAGTGCATGCTGTGGGTAGGCTGATAAGGACAAGTCGATAAGACAAGAATAACAAGTCGCCTGGGAAATGCACTAATCTCTCGGAAATGCCCTCCTGTGGAGTGTCCTATAGTCAATACAAAAAGGAATTCAGACTGGGAGAACACCAGGTGTGCATTTACAGACACCACTTTGCGTGTTCTAGCTGCATGCAGAACTCCACAGCCATTTTGTAGCCGGCTCATGACAAAGTTACACTAGAAACAATGAAAGTGTTCCTCCTGTCTCAACTTAAAACTTCAGTGCAAGTTTTCTGGCCACAATAGTTTCTCTTCAAGTCCTCTAAAATAGTTTATGCACTTATCAACTGCGTGGGATGCAGTCTTCGTAGCCAACTGAGGTGGTTGGTTTGGTTTTTAACTATATAGATCATGAATGTCTTTGGCAAGGCTGAAACTATTTACAGCTGCAAGTTACCTATCCTGCTTCTGTTCATGGTAATTTTTTTTTTTTTTTAAAAACTCTTCCACAAACAGTTATGGGTATTGTATGCAGGTACAGCCTCCATTCTCTAGGTAATGACCACTTCCAAGAAAGTAAACACTGCAGTCATGGATAGTAGTCTATGTTTGTCACAATTATGTATCTAAGGGATACAGGAACACAAGAATCCTTTTCCTTTGCAACAGTTGTCCAATATTCAAGTTAGATGCACTGTATAACTGAATCCCAACCCCACCCTAGCTGGAGGTCAATGCATGCATCGTAGCTTGTTATTTTGAATACTGCCACAACAAAATCTTCCATCTAAACTATTTGCTATCAGTACCATGGGGACAGAAGACTCGAAATAAAAGAAAAGGATTTATTACTTGTATTTGGGGTCTCTAAACACATTTAGGGTGAGTATGTGACTTCTGCTTTTTTGTACCAAAGCATGGATACAAAAAAAAGCACCCATAGAAACCAAGGCAACCCAAGCCAAATGGGAACTGACATACGACTGATGTTTTCAATGGAAGAGCTTTCTGCCTTAGTCTCCTGTAAGCTCGCACTATACATGCATTCAGATTTAAAGTTGCAGAGTGGGTGGAAAGGAGATTAACATTTTGTACTCATCACAAAGCATGACTGAAACCACAAGGAAGCTTTCCTATTGAGAAGTCCAACACTGACAGAATGATGAGCCTTATAATAGAGTAGGGTTTTCTTGGTGGTCATGAATTATGTTATAAAATATACTATCACTTCCCCAGGAGCAAATTTTACTAAAAGACAGACAGACTCTCAATGTGTTGCTGGTTCAATAGTGTCTTTTATAAGTGTAAGCAGGGTCACTTGCTTTAACATGAAATCCACAGTGGTTTTCTTAAAAGCAAAAACGATCTTTATCAGACCTATGTTTCTCAGTCCTAACACTAATAATCCTGTTTCCAACCCTTTTAGTCTACAGCACGATGAAAATTCACACATGAAAACAATTTGCTGCAAGTACAAGTATCTGATGAGAATTCAGTGGCTGCCATATACTGTTCCTAATGCAATGTGATTTTTACAGAGATGAGAACTGTGTTTTAGTTATGCAGATAAAAGTTCTAAACCAACTATATTTGATATGCAAGAGTTCATTCTGAATCTACTTACCGGTGCCTTCTTGTCAATGGGTTTTATAACAAACTTTTTGTCATTGAAAGAGATGTTTCTGATTTCACTCCAAGGGAAGCCAATCTTTGGGGTCAGTCTGGAAACAAACAAAGAAAAGATTAAGAGAAGCCAATGTGGGTGGCTACTTAAAGCTATGACAAATTACTCATGGGACTAAGTGCAAAAAGTCAAGTCAGATTGAGCCAAATACCCTAAAATGAATGCGACTCGTTATTCGAAACACAACAGGAAGCAGTAGAAAGACCATTTCCACCCCCTCCCAAGGAAGCATGAAGAGAGCATCCTTACTCCAGCAGGCCTTTCTGGAGTAAAGAATACCTATAGCATTTCTTACTCCAGCAGGCCTTTCTTTTCTAATTTATAGGGGCCACACTTGTGATAACTGTGGCTCTTAAGTGCAGAAATAAGAGGAAACAGCTTCAATTTCAGAAACACTGAGTCCAACACAGCTTCAGCTGACTTTAGCAAGGCCTATTGGAATACTCAGGTCCTTTGAACACCAAACCACTTTGTTAGGTGCTTAATTACAGACTTGGAAGCTTAAATCCAGGCACTAAAGTTATTTTTATTTTGTTTTTAAAATTGTTTCTGTGCACTGATGTACAAGTAGCTTCAAATTATTATTAAAAATACTGTTAAGTGGGGGTATTGAGTCATTTTACATTATTCTCTGGCTAAAACAATAAAACATATTTGTACCCCTTAAAGGCCTACATTAAAGACAATACTTAAGTGGGTACTTAAATCCTATTAAGCACTTGCTTCAAGTTAAGCTGTTTTGATTCTGGGGCTAAAGCCACAGCATGCTTGACACAGGGTAGGCCTCGACTGCAAGTCAGGAAATGTGACAGATGATTGAAATATGGAGAAGCATAGCTAATTCCACTTTACTGCTGTGGGGCAGCTAGAGATGCAGTGGACTTGTACTGAAATCCTTCTGCTGTGCCTTTAGCTTTACCCCAGCTGGCAAGAAGAGAAATCTGCGTGTACCTTTCCATGCTGCAATCATACTTCCCTACTGTCATAGAAGTGTATTCACAGTTCAGGAAAGCCAACACCCTGAGCCCCTCTCCTTCCCCCAGATTACTTGCAAGTCTGGAGAAAGAAAGTTCTGTCCTGTCCTTATTATCCACAAGCAGTATGGGCAGATTTGCCCACAAATTGCACAGAACTTTAAATTTAGGTTCAGGCCTCACACCTAACACTTGTGCATATCCTCTCACTGGAAGATGAACCTTTCCTTCAAGGCAAAGTGATCTCAAGTTTTAAACAAACCAAAAGACCCTGGTAAAGCTGAGAACATTCTTTTTCTTGACATTTCCCTATTTTTGTCAGCTTCTTTTTGCATCTCTTGTTTATCCAAGCTCAGAGAAAAATCAGGTGTTAATACTGCATCTACTTGGTCTCCAGATCATTTAAAATAGAGAGTTTTCTAACCTTCTTGATGCTATAAGAATATGGTTTGTTTACTGAAGGGGCACACACGTTTGTTTTTAACATACATGGTGGAATTTTTAAATATTGCCTTCATTTAATCTTTCCAAAGGGTAAATTATGAGTCAGAGTTGACTTTCTAAATGTCCTTCCAGCAATAACTACAAGACAGTGGAAAATAAGTTCTCTTTAGTCACTAATGATTAAAATAGTTTTAGGTCTTAAGTACCATAGAGAAGTTAAACTGTTGCCACTCTGAACATTTACTAAAGCAAATTGAGAGTGAAGGAATGAGAGTGAAGGAATCAGCTTGCTGGTTTCTAAGACAGGAAAGCACACCCTAAAGGGGGAGGGGGTGGGGAGCGAGGAAAGACTTCAGTGTTCCACCATGAACAGGGTGAGCAACAGCTTTACACACTTCCAAGAAGTAGTACTAATGTACTTCCAAAAACTAGTTTGAAGGCATGTTTGATGTACTATATTCAGTATTTGATTAGTTAAATTATTCCAGCTGCTTACTAGAGCTTTACTTTAAGAAGATCTAGAGGAGCTGTACAAAGGGAAAGAGAAAGGCTCAGAGAAACAAATAGACTGCAATTTTAACTAAATTCCTTCAATTCATCTATCAAAAGGGAGGAAGCTGCTATCTGGCACAGCATACCTGAAGCACCGAGCCCACTTGTACCAAAGTAAAAACAAAACAGAATCTCTATTACAAATTTGCCCTTCTTAATCTTTATTCTGTATTATTAGATTTACAAAGTTTAAAAGTAATATAAAAAAAAAAGTGATCTGCCTTGGTTGACTTGGCAAGAACTGCTCTAGTCTTTCACACTAGCTTCCATGAGGATTCCAAGACGAGCATGCAAGAATGCACTGGAGTTCAGGGGGCAGTGATACTTGGTTGAGTAAAACAAGTTCTAACTGTACTACTGCATAATCTTTTTTCTACCCCCGATTTAAAAATACTGTCAGAGAACCCCTATTGGATTGGGGAACTGAAACCCACTCTGTAGCACACACTCCTGCCCCTAACTAAAAATCAATTATATTTTTTCACAGCAGCATATAAAATCTTCTGAAAACTCTCTCCACCCTCATCTCCATCCCGATTTGTATTAATTGATCTCCTCCCAGTCCTGACATTCTGTTCAAAAGACTTAAGTGCATAGTAGCAAAAAAAGCTGTCGCCAAAACAAGTGAATTGGCCCAACATTTGTTTTGCAAACTTTTTCCATAGTTCTCCTTCAAAGGTGAGGGCTATATTCGGTCTGTTTATCCAGCCTGAAAAACCTGTTTGCGTGACCATGGTTACAAAGCGAGACCAGTCATTCAAGACAGAAAGAAAGGCAGTTTCACTCATGTAATACCTCACGGGACACTCCTTGTTTTCTGGGTGATAGCTCACATTAGCATTGCAAAGAGAAAGGCATTCTCCTCCTCTGCAGCTTTAACAGGAACTTCAGACTCGTGCAATTAATGTGAAATTAACATTTAACTCATTTGAGACTCAGTCATACTCTCCAACCCATGAGCACCTGGGTGCAAATCCCTCTCTAGTATTATGACACATGAAACCAAGACTGGGAGCTTCTTTAAGTCTTGATGCTGTCATCCTTCCTTTAAAGGAGAGTCCTCTTATTTCACTTCCACTCCCAACCCTCTCTTTGAGCTTGTCCTTCATTCTCTAGGACTTGCCACAGAGCAAGGATATACAACCAGAATCCATTTTCTTTATGCTTATTCCTATTAAAGCTTGCAGTCCCCTAATGGTAAATTGTACTTGCGTTTATAACTAACATATAGATTGCTGCATGCGTAAGTCTTCTTAAAAATCTGGTCCTAGGCTCTTATGGTGCCTACCCTGGAACCTTCTCTTCCTAAGAGTGGGGTGTTAGTAGACATGGCCATCATTCCCATAAATGCAAGATGGGAGCTCAGTGCTTTGAACATCATTAAAGATCAGGCCCCTCATCTAGCAAGTTTTTACTCTGCATACATCATTGTATTGCTTGATAAGATTAATTTAAGGAAAAAAAATAATTATTTTCCTAGAGAAACTCTTTACAGTTCAGTTCTACAGTCCTGTTGAAAAATGGAAGCCAACAGCAACAGGTAAAGCTTGTGGGCGAGTTCTGTAATGCAATTCACTTGTCTGCCTCCACACAGTGCAAGTTGCTCAAATGTGCTGGTGGAGAGCCCATAAGGGGAAAGCAGGTCAAACTGCAATGGAAGGCAGAGGCAAATTAACACCAGGCATGAGTCCCAGCCTGCCCTGTTGTCTTCCAAAGTATGCTCATCAGGACAGCACTAAGCTTTATGCTTACTGTGGGTGAGACGTGGCTTGGCTCCAGCATCAATTCTTCCTGCTGGAGAGGGACCAGATGCACACACAACTTACTTGTCTTCCTTCTCATAAATGTTCAGCCCCAGTGCGTCTACTCCCAGCCAGAGCTCAGTTCCTTTCTTATTCTTGATCTCAAAGTAGTTGATCCCATACATCTCCAAGTCCTGAGCAATCTTCAGATATTCTAGCATGGCATCCTCTCTGGTTGAGTGGGGGGGAGGGAAAACAGATGTAAACACATGAAAATGTAACAACGCACCAGCCAAAGTCCCTGGATGCAATAAGCACTTCACTTCTGGGGCAGCAAGTTTGCTCCTAACTCCTGTTCTGAGACTTAGGAATACTGGGAGAAGTCCCCACAAGTATTATATCTTGTTACTGAACAGAGACTCTATATCAGTCTCTTAACCTTTTTAGAATCAGGGCACCTCCCAGCTTTTCCTAATTTGGCATGACCCTGGTTGAGAACCTCTGTTGTGCTGCCTCAGCTTTCCTCGTGATTCTCAACCAGGGTGCTTCTGCTGCCCACAACTGTGGCTAGATAAGAGTGCCCTATGCTCTTTGTGCACAGTTGGAACGCAAAAGGCTGCAGCACAAGTCACCTCAACAGCCTGCTTTGGGCTGATCTGAGAACCCTAATGAGACAGGAGAATGCACACAAGCCACAGCCCTTCCCAGTGTAGCTGCGCAGCAGACACCACCCCAGTTGTAATACAGTGGTTCTCAACTACTGTATTAAAACTGTATGATTATAGCAATCCCTAAACAAGGACATCATAGGGAGGGGACTTTAGAAACATTTTTCTATCATGGTGCAGGTCAGAGAAAACAACATGTAGATAATGGGAAGAGTGAAGCAGTTGACTTTCCTACACAAGTCCAAATCCACTGTGTTTGAAAGTAAGCTTGGGCTAGCTTTCAGAACAAATTTCCAAAAAGTTTCTCTGCCCGGGGGAAGGAAATTTTGTGGCCAGAAGCTCATCTAAATAATCTCTCCCAACTATATAGCTGTAATAAAAAAAAAAAAAAAAAAAAAAAAAAAAAAGAAGATATTACCAAACAAATCTTGCGTCCTCAAATGTCCCCTAGACCATTACGGCTACAAGGACACTACACCAGACAGTCTACAGTTCACAGGGGTCTTCTCTATACATGGCAGCATTGATATCACAACTCATAAATATTCTATTCTCCTAAGTTCGATTCTCATGATGCAAGCAGTCTATACCTGATACCTAGCTAAAGATTTGTTAGTCTGACAGGACAGGCATTTGTTCCTGGCTGCAAAATATTCATTCTACTTTACAAATTTGTTTCCTATTCTGTTGAATTTTTGCATTTTATTCAATATTGGACAGGAAAAAAGTTAGTGTCACATATCTCCAGAGCCAATCACCTTATGAGTCCATTTAAAAACAAAAACAAACAAACAATGCATCATAAAAAAAAGCAAGTTTAAGGAAACTAATAGAGTGGAGGGGGGGGGGAATGGGGACGGGGGACACCTAGATGCAAGAACTCACTTGAGCATTCCACCATGTTCAGAATGCCAGACCTGGATCCGCTCTTCACATTGATCTCTGGAAAGCTTGTGCTGGTCCATCACACTAATGCACAAAAGGGAAATAGAAGCATTAAGTTCCTTATTCTGGCACCTATGCTGATTTGCACTATTTGCTTTAGATCTGTATTAATATTTTTGTCTTCGAGATTTTACCTCAAGGTCTACAGGTAAAGCCTGTTTCAAGGTTACTCCTGTAGCTTTTCAGAACCATCACCATGACCAAAAAAAGGCTTACATGCCTCCAGAGGAAACTCAGCTATATTTTGCAGAGATCAACCTCATTAAAAGCCTTAGCTCCTGTCCTCTCACCCCTCCCCACAAGAACAAAAAAGACCTGCACACTCCTCTATGATCCTGGAGGACTGGATTAGAAAAAGTAAAACACAGATAAAAGTGCCCACTTCTTTCCTGCCAGAACTCTTGGCTATCATTGACCAAAGCCATAAAATTATTTCACAAGGAAACACAGAAGCAGAAGATGCAAACTGCTTGCCTAAGCAGGCCAGCTTATGGAAAGAAAAGTGTCTGCCACTGTGATATCAGTTAGCGAAACAAAAAGAATTTTTTTTTTTTTTTTTAGCTGGTGCCACACACCAGGATGTCCAGAAATAGGTGAGATGACAAGGTATCAGGGTGTGCATTTTCCTTGTCTCAGTGCAGGGGAATGTGGTAGACAGCAATTTGAGCTGCCTTCCAGCCCCATAATCTAGAGCAGGAGTGCACAAAAGACAGCTCGTGGGCTGAACCTGGCCCACCAACTGATTGTATCCAGCCCATGGGCAGCCAGCAGTTCTGGCCGCTGTGTGGTGCCAGGTGGGTGGAACCGATTCTACTGCACTAGATGGGCAGGACTGCGTCTGTCCAGTGCTGATGCAGCAGTATCTACTGTGGACCCAAGTGGATGCTACAATCCCACCTGGAATCTGCCAGTTGCATCCGCAATTGACTCTGGCACTCATCTGGGGCTGCTTCCAGCACATTGGGTACATGCGGTCAGCAGGTTCTGGGTTCAGGGGTAGGGCATGAGAGCCAGCCAAAATAACTGCCCATCCTTGACTTAGGGAGGTTTGGTGAGCTGTTGCAAGGCAAACAAGAAGGGGGCCTGACCTGTCACAACAGAGCAGAGGGGTGCTGAGTCAGCCTGCAACAGCTCACCAAACCTCTTTAAGTGGCCCTCCAGCCCAAATAAATTGCTCACCCCTGGTCTAGAGCTTCAACTTTAAAATTAATGGCATGCAAGCCAAACTTCTCCAGGGACAGGAGGTTCTAACAGCAGCCTGTTCTTTCTTACTCAAAGCCAAAATGCTTGCATTAATAGCTGCCAGCACAATCATTGCCAGCACAGGCAGTGCCGAGAAGGCACTCGGAGAGGAAAAAGGTGAGCCCTCAGAGTAAGAATATGCCCTTACTCACTGCATGGAGGCAGAAAGCACTCTCCAGGCAGACATGTGATCTGGGTTAGATGGAGAAGAAATGCAGTGTTATTGTTGAAGCACTGCGTCTTTTGGTCAGACCACACGTTATTTAATAACCAGAAAAGAGCAGAGGACTTGGGGCTGCTTAACTCCTTTATGATGATTTTGCTTACCGTTGGGGGATAAGGCGTTCTGAGTTGAGGTATCCAGGCTTGTGCACATCTTTATTGTAGTCTCCAAATTTGGCCTGCACAGCATAGGAGCCGAGCAGAACTGCTGTTTCAGGTGGGCAGTAGATCTCATCGCTGAGGATCCCTTCCTTCACTTGCAGGAAGAAGAGCTTCTGGGTGATGTCCTGGATCAGCTCCTCAGAGACATCCTCAGGGAAGAACTTGGCACGGAATCTGAACTGAAGGGGGCTTTCCTTCCTGACTTCCTGAGCGGAGACCTGAACAGATTAGAGAAGACCACAACAACTCTTGAGCATGCATTAATGGATAATGACATAAATTTTTCATGTGGAAAATGGTTTGGTTTCTTTTATAATGTATATCTGGAGAGCATTCTAGCTCAGGAGAATTCATTTCAGAACTCAACTGGCTGCAGGGGCACTGGAATTTGTGATGCACTAAGATCAGAGCCCACAAGAAACACAAGTTTTAACCTACAATTCCTCTTCAAGCAACCCTGTTTAAATTGCAAAGAGACAGTGCACTTCCAGGACTCCCCACAACCTTTACAGGTGGCACAAATATATCAAAGTGGATTATGTATATCAGTCAATTTTGTTAGACTGGAAAATGTAGAGCCCCTTTGCATTTTGAGAAACAAGAAGAGGTTGTTCATGGACCATTTACAGTTCCACATGAACCAACTAGCGGATTACACACTGCTCTCTCCCCTTGCTTTGAGCTGCTAAACAGAAAAAAATATGCAAAAATACAATGCCTTCTGAATTATTTTTCCAGGCAAGCAATTACTGAAGTCACCGTAACTAGAAGCTGATATTTCTGTAGCAAACTCTGCATCCTGGAAGCACAGAAACTGCTGTAATGGATCAGATCAAGGGTCTATTTGGTCCTGTGTAGTTTTTTGACAATGACCAGCATCAGATGCTTCTGAAGAGGGTATATCCGCAAGACGTAGTGCGCTCCATTAACAGATTTCATACTCATGAATAAGAGTACATTAAATAGTTCAATTACAGCATGGAATAGGCCAACTTGGAAACAAACTGTTCATTCCAACAAGCCTGGCAACTGATCCTACACAAGCACAGAAGATTAAGCAACAGATGCCAACAGGTTCCGCTAGCCGAAATAAACACAATAGCTGGTTATTCTGTGAAAAGCAATGATGTCACACTGGTTAGACTCAAGGTGTGCTCCGACAGAGTGACTGCTGCCTTTATACAGCCACTACAGTTATCCAGGGAGCAGTGGCAAGCCTTCTGTTTGTCTGAGCATGGTTCACAGTAGTCCTGTGAACCTCAAGTGACCCCTTAAAAAAAATACACCAGAAAATTTATAGCTATTGAAGGTTAAAAAATTATTAATAATGCTATGGGATTGCAACATCAGCAGCTGATAGCACAGCAGGGATCCCATACCAAACTTTAACCTCCATTCAGCAGTTAACCCTGAATCTCAATTACCTTTTTATCAAGTTTCAGCCAAGTCTGAAATCCTTTGTTGTCCTCATACTGAAGACCAAAGTACCAGACTTCACGCAGGCCTATCGTTTTCACCACCTGCAAGAGAGAGAGAGGGAAAAAAACAAACAAACACACCCAGTTGATATGGCTGTGAAGTTTCATTTGTCCCTCCAAGCATGGTCTCAACCTTTGAGTAGCCTGAACTCCATATCTGTCCTATGTTTTAAGAGGCATCCCTTTACTTCACCCACCCAAGGGTACAACCTTCAAAGCTCTCTACCTGCAGCCCTTGTAATTCCACCCCCCAGCCTCAAGCCTTAGCAATAACGAAGATAAGCTACCTGTTTCAACCCTCAAGTTGTGTACGCGCAGAAACAACTGACAGAAATGCTGATGAGTGTTTTACCTACAGTGGTTTTCAATGGATTTCAGCCTGCTGTTTCCCCTGAGCACCAAAATTGCAGACCAGCTGGTTTCTCAGGCTAACAGTGTGATATTGAAAGTCCTACGAGCAGTTTTACACTTTAGATTGGATCCTTTTCATCCCCTTGGGTTATGGTGCTACTCCTTGGTTGAAGAAAGAAATTTCAGTGTCCTACAACTTGTTCCCAAGTCCAAATACCACTTATTCAGACCCTTAGCTAGCTAGTAGCGTGGGTTTCTTTGAATTCAGTACTCATCAATAAACCAGTTGTCAATAGCATGTGAGGATTAAGGCCATCTTAACCAGCATTTTCCATGGGCATTACTGCTTCAGCAGCCACCATTGATTAGCAATCTACAGAATTATAGAAATCCACGTGACCCTGGAAAATGAATTAATGAACACAGGGAGAAACTGAGCTTTACTCTAAATATTCTATGAGGGAGAAAATGGCAATACCTTCAAATACTTGCCCAGCATTAGCAAATCCTGTGATATCAGTGAACTTCTTTAAAGTCCTAGCTCCTGGATTCAAGGTAGCTGGGATTCTCAATATTTATTTATAAAATAAAAATATTAAGTTTCTAGTGCATGAGTGCAGAGGAGAAAAAAAAGTTGAAAGTGTGATTCCTGAAGTCTCCAATACATGAAGAAAAAGAAGCCCTTAAGTGTTTTCTAATCTCACTATTTTTAAAGCTAATGATTTTTAAAAGCTTGGAGTGAATACCACTTAAAAACCAGTGTCAAAATTTGTACGCTCTTGCATGCTGTGCTTTACCATAAAAGATTTTAGAAACAAACAAATTTCCCCATGGCCACAATAGAAAGTGTAAAGGATACTGAAGCAACACGTTCCAAAAATCTTTTACGTGTTCTACTCAGCTATGTGGAGAAGGGGTGCTCATACAATTGAAAAGGGACAAGTATCAGCAACTTACTTGTAGGCAAAGGAGGAAAGCAAGCAGAAACAAAATACTATAGCTATTAATACCTACATTATTAAAGTAAAAGGTCTAATTTTGCTGTCAGTAATCTGAATGGTCTCATAGGACACCTAGCAAAGGAGGAATACACCCCAAATGAGGAAAGCAATCAGGATTTGGCTCATGTTTTGAGAGAGAGAGACTTAAACCCATAATTGTACTGAGGACAGTTTAACTTAAATCATGTTAAATAGAGATATAGCTGAATCTACTCTCTAGCAAACACTAGTTCACAGTAGCAAGGCCTTAATAAGTCATTAAGCATTTCCAAAGAAGGTTAACTGTATAAAAGCACTCACTGGATAAATGGATGACAGACTGGGTGAATGCTGCTCTTTTACCTTTGGGAATTCCTGAGTGTTTAACTCCATGTTCCACTTTCATATTTATACTATCACGAGAAAGTTAGAATACACACTGTCACTTGTGCGCACGATTGTTTATAAAAAACAAATCACAAACACAGAATTAACCTATATCCACACTTTGCAGAAGTGCTTAAAAAGTTCCAGGATGCAAGAAACAGCAGCAAGCAGATATATGCTTTTATACAGGTATATAGCATATTTCCCCTTTATTTGTTTGCTGCATAAGAAAATGTAATATTTGGATAGATGGGCGATCCATCAGATTGGGTGGACACCAAGCTCTGGTTAACAAACAGCTCTGAAGTCTGGCTGGTGAGTTAAGGCAGTGGCTCTCAATCAAGGTGTTGCTAAACCAAAAGGTACCATCAGAAACTGTGCAACTCTCTCTCACCAGAAATACCCATAAATTACTTTGCAAATTCTTATGAAGCAGTAGATCTATTTTTGGGTGTTCCGAGAAGCCACAGAAAGTATTCTGAAGCTCTTACAATGGGGAAGAATCTGAATGTGTCCAATTTAAGAGTAAAAGGGCTAAAACATTTACAAGACTAGCTACTAGTCTTCTTTTTAAAATTTAAATTCTGCATGAAAGAAGCCAAAGGTCAGCAGGATAGCTGCAGTGAAATAAAACTTTAGGTCTACCTTTGACAGTAAATCAAAGTTACTGCGTGAAAGGCTGTTTGCTAGGCCATGAACTCAAAATGCAGCACCCATTCACGCAGATTTCAATCTTATTCCACTACTTACAAATACATCTTAGAAAGAGGGTAACAGATGTATTCAACCTTGCCTTCATGGGAAAGATAACTGAGGTAGCTATAGAGGGTTTCTGCTATAACCTACTTTGGTTAGTTTCCTCAAGTAGACAAGTCCTTAACCCAGGGTGGATATGATTTCAATTAACTATTTAAAATCACACGTCAGGAAGCCTTGGTTTAATCATTGGTTTCTACAAAAAGTGCATTCTTGTTGTTTGATATCCTTTAACTTCTTGAAGCTTTGCACTTTTAGAGAAAGGTAAGGGCTTGACTGTGTACACAAACTTGCTAGTAGCGCTGATGGGTGGTTAATCAGGTCTGTTTTTTCTCACTTCCATATAGCGATCAGCTGTTAACAAGGATGCTATCTTTGGAGACACAAATCCACAGTTTGATAACTGAAACTAAGCATCACAGAGATGCTTAATGAGCAACAAGTCCCATCAGGTAGAGTGGTTTTCTATAATCTTTACTAATCTATAGAGAAGCCTCTGGAAACCCTATAAATTTAGGTCCTTAATATAATGCATGGCCTGTTGTGACATTTATAAAAACGTTTCTAAAAATGTTACATGAATATATGATCTCAAATAGCATACAATTAGAAGTTATAATCCCTATTCCATGATGATATCTTTGATCTTTAACATAAATTAAAGCTATCTTTATATAGGATTTATTTTTAAAATTTAAGATGCTTTAAAAAAAAAAAAAAAAAAAAGATTAAATAAAAAAAATCCAATTTAAATTAAAAAAAAAAAATCCAATTTGATTAAAAAAAAAGTTGCTTTTTATCCAGCCTGCCTTAATCTGACTTCTAGCAAGGAATAAGGTCAGGTTAGATGGAAAAACCTGAAAAAGAAGCTAGTAACAAATGAGTCATCTTCTTAGGGCAGCTCAGCATGAGCATTTAACACCGCTTCTGGCTTTCTGTTTTAGTCTGATGCAGGCCTACGGATATCATCTCTGATTAGCTGAAATCCAAGCAATATAGACACCTAATTTACAACATTCATCAGAAAGTATATGGTGCATCAGAGGAATATAGGAGTGACAGGGACCTCCTGGGTCTTCAAAAAATCTTCTCTTTTGCTATTAAGGCAACTACATCAAAATAATCTTTTCCAGACACTGCTTCTCTTCCAGGATCTAGTGGCTTTATTATTTAATTTTCTCTCTCTCTCTCACACACACACACACTTTTTGAAAAAATGCCATGCCTTGAGGCTCCCTTTCACAACAGACTATGCATTATGGTTGGTTGTTGGTACTGATGTTCAACTTTATCCTAAAGGGCAGAGATTTCTGTTCCATTTCTAAGATACTTCATTGTAAGAAACTACTGAGGAGTTGGAGTCTTAGAATAAAGACCAGTTTCAAATTTAAATCCCACACACATACACCCCATGCACTTAAATTCAATAAGTAAATCATTTTAATAAAGTACCAGCTTTATCAATAGCAGTAACTTATCATTCCTCTATACCAGGAGCCCCAAAGTTAAGTGGTTTCTAATAAGATTCCCAGCTCTTGCTCTTTTAATTGTTTGGCGATAGACCAGTCCCAGGTACAGAACCCTGGGAGGGTATAAATTTAAGATAGAAGTGCTCATCCCCTGGCCCGTGAGCCAGATTTGGCCCATGGTGCTATGTCATCCAGCCCTGGAAATGTGAAGTGGGGAACGATGATACTGCTCCCCTGCTACCATATTTCCACAAAGAAGGGGAAGCAGGCCCTGAATGTTGCATCGAGTACCCGAATCCAGCACACAGGGCTAAGGGGTGGCAGTGGGAAGGCTGGACCCCTGAGGCCCAATCCAAGCACATGGGGATGGGAGGGGAGGTAATGCTAGGCCCCAGGGCCCAGTCTGACCTGTGGACCATCCCTAGGCCACTCATCTGGTCCATGTGGTCAAAAGGCCTGATTTAAAGATATTCAGAGTAAAATGTGTCAGTTCTGCAGTACATCCATGTTACCACCTCTCAAATATTTTGACTTTCCCTATCATATAGTTAATGGTTAAAAAGCTGTAAGAAGGGAGTGGGAGCAAACTATTATTAAAACACTGTCTGGAAAATAGCTCTTTTCCTTGTGTTAAGTCAAATCTCCAAATATTTCCCACTTGAAAGCTGAGCTGCGGAGGAAAAAACCCTCAAGATTTTTTTGCTATTAATGAAAACCCTTAACTTTACATTTAGGACAAAAACAATTCTTCCTTGCTGAATTTTAAGGATTAAAGAGGAGGCTAGAGCCAGGGAAAGCGATATTTGAGAGAGACCCTCAAATACAAGTTTTCCAACTAAAGCGTGTCACTTAACTACAGTGACCAGCAGTAAAAGTTTGAGGGTCATGTTCTCAAGAGAGCTTAATGAATGTTGGGGTCCTAAGCCTCACTGAAAAAAGACAGAGGGGTTTTGGCTCCTAAAGACCACATACTTCGAGGCACCTCTGCAGGCACCTGAATTACCACTACACACTCGCCTCAAGTGTTTCCATTGTGTGTGGGGGTGGGAAGGTGTGAAGTTTAGAAAAAAAAAGGTTAAGCCAGGCCTATAGGTAGCCACCAGCGAATGGAAAGACATAACTAAATCCTGCTTCAATGCAACGTGGTTGTACTGGAAACTTGACGCACCATCTATCAATATTTCAAATCTAGCCCAGGTCAGAAACAACACAGAATTAAAGTTACATTGCTCCTACAATAACATCTGGATTTGCAAGTTTTGTTTGTTAATGTTCAAGTACTGCAGCAACTGGAATTCAGGCCAAAAAAAAAAAAAAAAAAATCCCCAGAACATAACTCCTTCCCCCTCTTCTTCCTGCAGTTTGTTCTCCTTTCTAGGAGAAAAAGAATTGTCAAGAAGCATCTCCATCGTTCCCAACAGATCCTGTTGGCTCTCCCTGGTACCTCACTCAAAGTGTGTTGACAAAATCTTGTACAAAAGGAGGAATACTTTTTAGCCAACTCTCCCTACTTGACCTTAGAGACTGCACAGTCTTTGTTAATAAAGCCAGTAGGAGATGGGAAAAGAAAACTGTTTCTCAGTGTTTTGTTAAAAAAAACAAACCTATTAAAAAAAACTTGCCTTCTTTACACAAATGTAGTCCCCCAAACAGCTAGGTCAGTGACCAGGGACTTGTGAGAAGCAGGCCTTGAATAAATTAGGCTAAACCAGGTCTATTTCTGTTGTACAAAAATCCTGTTGTGCATTCTCTCTGTGCAGAAAGAGTCCAAAGACAGACAGAAGTTTACAAAATGTTGTTTGCCTCAATCTAGTCACCCCTTCCATTTCCTCATTCTGCAATTTAGCAGCTCCACTTTCTGTTCCATGGCAATGCAGGAAGAGCTGAAGGCTTCCTTAAGGAGATCCTCAGAGCCAGAGCAGGGGACACGGTTTGGCTGCTCATGTCCTTCAGCGCCATGGCTTGGAATGCCAGCTTCTTTGCTTTGTCTGATGAGACACGAATGAGTTGGCATGCCTTATAAAAAACCGCTTCAGATCAGTGCACAGATCTCCTGACTTTTCCGCTACGTGGCCCCAAACCCACCACCATCTTTGTCAAGTCACCACCTCTGGACCTCAGTTTCCCACATCACCAAAGAATGGGGAGCAGCCTTTGTCAAGAGCTCCAAGACTCGATTCAAAGGGTGTTATGACAGAAGTGCAGAGTAGTACTATAGCTTCCTGTGCAAAAAAAGTTTAGTTTATTTATTTAAAAAGCTACACAGTGGAATTCTACATATTCGGTTAAGAAATTCTCCCTTCTTTTAAGGACATAACCTTTATATTATCACCTAGATATTTAGTAAGTATACTTTAGGGAAGAATTTTATCAAGTTCAACACAACTACACACACACCAAAAATAATTAAGAAAAAATAGCTCAAATTTGGACACCAAGAAGTCTACAGAAATGGTATTAGCTTAAAAGACATTATCCAGATAAAATGAGTTTAATAGCCCATTCTTCACAAAACAGAAGGAATTAAACAGAGGGAAAACACTTCTGTCATAGTCTATCACCTCTCTGCCACCAGGGTTAAGTAACTAACCCTTTAGGCTAGGGACTTTTACCAGCATAAGCGATCGGAAAACTGGTCTATACCCGTAACAAAAACAGAAGTTTGGCGCACAGACTGGTTTAAAAATAGCAGAACCTGGTCTAACTTTTCCAGTCCCCCCCGCCCTCCTGGAAAATGTGTGCTCTGTTCACTACCGATCTAAACTACACCACTTACAGAAAATCGTGCAACTTAGATCGACTCTGTCTTGGGCTTTTTGAATGTCTGTACCCAGCCTTAGAGGGGAATTAAAGATTCAGATGCCCAGCAGTGACTATGCACCAATTAATATAGCACCCATTTCCAAAACATAAATCCTGGTGAGCACGAATCAATCTCTCATATCCTTTGGGATGTAAATCATTGCCACAGCCACTTCATTCTGAAGGCCTATTTTCTCCTCTTCCCTGCTGTATGCCCAGAGCAGGGAGAGATGTTAAACAGTTTGCTTCTCAGAGAAAGAATGCTACTTACAATAACTGATTAAACTGGTACAACATAATAGCAACTGTACTGAAATCTAGCCATTATGATTATAATTCATGTTTATTAGGAGCTGGCTGTGTAGTCTGTCACTACATGGGAAGTTTGACCCATGAAGAGGCTCTGTGGGTCAAAAATAAGGCAACTACTGGCAGCTGCAAATGCAAGAGCGGATATTCAAACAGGCAGGCAATTTATTTGATAAATTATATGAAAAGCAGGGGCCAAATGCCTACAAGGATCTCTGTTTATTACTACTTCATATGTATTGCCTCAGAGTCCAAAGTATTCAATCAAGATCAGGTTCCCATTGTACAAAGCTCTGACAAAACAGAAAAAAAGACGTGGTCCCTGATACAAAGGGGAACTTGCAATAGAAGCACACCTGAATATTGGGTTTTTAAGAAAAGCAAGAAAAAAAGACAAAAACAAATAGGTACCCAACTACTTACTGACCTGGTCAAAGAGCTGCTTGCCTGTGGTGTTGGGCTGGATGGCAAACTCCAGCTCCGCGTCCACAGTGGTAACTCGAACATTGATCTAAAAGAGACCGGGGGG